CCCCACCCCTCCAGCCACCCCATCCCCACCCAGCGTGGGAACCCCTCGAGGGACAGGACGAGCCAGGGCAAACTCTTCCCAATGCCAGCCTGAAACACACAGCCCAAGCAAAGGTGTTACACCAAAACCTGCTGTTAAAAGCCCATCCCTGCTGGACACCAACGTCACAAGGCAAAGGCCAGGAGAAAAAGCTTCAGAAACACAGGCTGAAAAGTCAAAATGTGAGCCAAATGTAATCCTGTTGCTATAAACCCATTATTACCTGGCAGACCTCCTGCAGCTGTTTAACACCACTCGCCAGCTTAGCAGCTTCTCCAAACCGTGGCCATGACTGCTAATTAACCCAGCAGGCATGACCAGCAGCAACCTGTGCTTCTGAGTGATGGACAGACTGCTCTGCAACATCCCTCCCCAAAACTTCAGCAGCTAAAACCTGTATTCACAGTGGGGACAGGAGCTATGGGGCCATCAGTTTGGTCTTCCTCCCCAAAAATGCTTCCCTGTCCCTCACACATCCTGGGGACCTCTTACTTTTCAGGTTTGCCTCACAGAAAAATAGCAAGCAGGGATGCTAGGAGATCATTAAATCCTCTCACCTAATTCCTGCACCTCTGATGTAATCCTAAACAGCTGCCAAAAGCACCAGTTGAGCTGCATGACCTGATTCAATGCAGGTGCCCCCCATCAGATATGGCATGGAAATCAACACAGAAGCAACAAAAAGAAAGGAACCAGCAAGACCTTCTCCAAACTGCACATGGCCTGGTCCCCACCTCAGTCACCCTTTTCAGAGACACTTCTCAGGATGTAGTTTGTCACCTGTGTCTCAGGGATGACTTCCCTTCTTATTAACCACTTTAGCGGGAGCTCTGCAGTTTAAATTTGAGGCCCCAGGGAAGAAGGCAGAGACTGCTCAGGAGTCAGGTAGACCCCAAGGGTGGTGACAGTGCGGTCCCCACCAGGCAGGCTGGGGAGACATGGGCCAGGGATGCTGCTGGAGAACACACATGGAGGCTGCTCTGCGACTGCGATGCCCCAAATGGCCCCAAATCTTTGCATTTCTATAGAAATCACAGACAATCTGGTCTATTTGCCTGACTTAAAATGAATTGCAAAATGCAGTCTTTAACGGCTCCAGCCCATCTTTGTCCCAAATAGCAGAGCCATGCACACCTCTCTGCTTCAGGCTGCTGGAAATCTCACCCACCTTCTCAATCCCAGCTCTATTTTAGGATTAATGCTCCCTTTCAACCTTTGTCATAACTGGAATTTTCTTTTTCAGCAGCCGCTGAGGTGCTGTAGTGCTACAATATTGCTCTGGTGCTTTCCACCATCAACTGCCATCTTTCAAACCGGGCTCCCATCTCACAGTTACACACAGACGGGGACTAACAGCTCCCTTGGCAACCACGGCCTCTTTGAACACGACATCCCTTTCCATTATTCACCAGAAGATGCTCCCCAAGAAGTCAGCAAAGCAAAGGTCACCGAGAAGCAAAAGCACTTTAAATCTCTGCCAAGATAAGAGCTGGCTTCCATAAGGAAATCGCCCTGTGCTACTATCTTGTGTGCATGTATAGAATGTATTTCTGCACGCAATGGATATTCTGTAAACTAATTTACTTAAACCAGTACAAAATTCTGCTGCAGGTGTGAAAAGCCAGCCAGATTAAAGTTGGGTTTTCATCATATTTTGTCTCTCTTCAGGCTGGCATTGTGGGGTTATTTTGTCAGTGTTTTGAGCGTGGACCACAGCCCTTGATTGGGAGAGATGCCATCGGGTGCCAGATTTCTCCCCTGCGGATCTGAGCCGTGTGCGAGCACAGCGTGTCTGGGAAGTGTGAGTCACTTCACATTAGTTTGAATTCCTTGCTAATCTCTTTGAGGAAAAAAAAACCCACCCCACAAAAACAGCATAAAATTAATTCAAATGTAATATTTCTTAGAAAGGGAATTAAATAAAGCATCTCTGTGGTGTGGAAGAGCCCCTTGAAGGGTTGCACTAACCCCGGGTTCCCCAGCACATGCCAGGAGAGGGAGCAAGTGATGCTGGAGCCAGCACAGGGGGTTTGGGGGCTGGAGGTTGCTGAGGTTGTAGCAAACTCATTACAGCAATGCCTGGACCACAGGGAGAATGCCCAGCTGCAAATTCTTGTGGTCTTTGATTTGGAAACCCTGGGGAAGGAGTGGGGAAGGTTTGAGGCAGCTTACAGCAGGCAGAGGAGGGCAGCGAGCAGCCTGGCTGAGCACAGGGAGGGGCAGCCCAAATCCTGCCCTCCGTGGGCTTTAGGCCATTTCTACCAAATAACTCCCATCCAAACAAGCAAATATATAAACCCCATCCACTCAGCTCTTCTGCAAATACTGTTATGCAAAAGCCAACCTGAAATCCTTAGAGCCTGAGAAAGATCTTCTCTGTTAAAGAGGAATTGTCACATGTATAAAACACGTCTGGTTAGAAGGCTTTAAACTCCTGACTCACAGATGGGATGTGGATTGTAACAAGAGGAAGAGGAGGATGTCAGGGTCCTGGGTGAGCTCTGCAGCCAGGGCCATGCAAACCCCTCCATCAGCCACAGCTGGCTCTGGGCAAGCCCAATGCCAGTGTCGGATGTGGTGGCCCCAAGGTGCTGGGTGGCTGCGAGCACCAGGTTCTCCATCTGGAGCTCAGCAGGAGTCTTTTGGGGTAAGGAAGGACAGCAGAGCCCTGAGCAGCACCGAGCATGGGGAAAATAACTCCAGAGACATCTGCTTTCCATTCCAGCGGATCACTGTGGGGCTAAATGAATTCCTGAATAAATGTTAAACAGGATCACCAGCAGCAGAGAAATTCAAGTATCTCAGAAAGCCTTTGGAAGAGACAATTACAACTTTTAATGGAACTTGCAGTCACAAAGTCACCTGAAAAAGTAATTTGTAGGGAAGAGGAGGAGAAAGAAGAGCCAGACAATGCCTCCAAACAACACTGGGGAAGTAGGTAGCCCTGAGGCTGCCAGGGCCATCAGATAGCCGCTGGCTTTCACCAGGCTGCTGCTGGCTTTTTACGTCATGTTCCAGTGTCCTAGGAATTTCCTGCCAGGGATTAATCTCTCCCGGGTTTTCATTCATCTGAAGGCTGGCACAGGTTGGAATCACCCTGCCCGCTGGGTAATGGGCACGGTTTGGTGGAGGGCAGAGCTAAAGGGGCTCTCAGCCCTGGGTCACTGCCCGGGGTGCTCTGGGAAGGGCTGACCCACCGGCAAAAAGAGGGGACTGGGGCATTCCAGCCTCTGTCACCTGGCACCATGTCCCCATGTGGGATGGGCACGAGAAGGGGCTTGGTCCCCGGTGTGGGGGGAGACGGGGACTCAGAGAGCCTGGTGAGAGCAAAGCAGCAGGGGAGGGGACCCTAGGGGAGGAAAGCCTGAAAGCTGCGCTTGTAGAAGGGTTTCCAGCAGGATATAGAAAGGGATTCCAGCTCTGCCAGCTGCCAAGGGGCACCAGGGGGTCCAGCGTTCAGCAGCACCCAGACCCCTCGAAATCCTCTGGAGGAAGAGGTGGCAATCCCAGCTGCGGGCAGCAGAGCCACTGCCCAGCTCCCCGTGCTCCCCCTGGCACAGGGGGTACCCCTCACCGTCCCC